TGCTCCCAAGGCCAGGTCTTCAGGGTGCTTTGTGTATCTGTGTTTTTCCAGAATGAGCCAAATGTAATTTCCACGTGCCCTGTGAGATCAGGCATGCGCAACAAAGGCTGGTCTCATAAAGAACTACCTCCCAGGGGGCGCCTGGGTGGCTCAGTCAGTTGAGCGTCTGACTGTGGCTCAGGTCATGATCTTTCGGTTTGTGAGTTCGAGCCCCCCATCGGGCTTGCAGCTCTCAGCGCAGAGCCCATTTCAGCTCTTCTGCTCCCCCACCTCTGTCCCTCCCCTGTTCGTGCCCTGTCTCTCTCAAAAATAAATCAAAGCATTAAAAATTAAAAATATATATATATATAGAACTACCTCCCAGGATTTTTATATCAAAATACTTGCACTGGAGGGTTCCACCTATGAAACTCTGGCACTTACAGATAGTCAACTGGGGGCTCCACTCCTCTCTCCCTTCAACAACAGATACTGTATTTTCAGTGAAGTGAAATGAAGCCGCATCCTACTGATAATGCCTTCAGCCTCTGGGGGGTGGGGGGCGCAGCTTGGTGTGTTAATTCCTTCCATAAAGGTAGTGGGTTAGGGAAACGGAGAAGGAAGCAGTGAAGGGAGTTCAGAGCCTGACTTCCTAGAGGACAAAACAAATCGCTTGTAATAACTGTGGCTACTGGGGCACCCGGGTGGTTCAGCTGGTTAAGCCTCCGACTTTGGCTCAGGTCATGATCTCACAGTTCGTGGGTTCGAGCCCTGCGTCGGCCTCTGTGCTGACAGTGTGGAGCCTGGTTGGGATGCTCTCTGTCTCTCTCTGTCTCTCTCTCTCTCTGCCCTCCCCCTCCCTCAAAATACATAAATAAATAAGAATAACTGTGACTATTGGAAAATCATTTCAAAAGAAAATGTCTTTTTATCATCTTGGCATTTGCTCAAGGATGTGGCTTTGGGTCAGCCAGTCCCCCAGCCCTGCCCGTGCCCCCCCCCTCCCCGCCGCGTCTCCCCACACCTATTTCAGGATCCCAGGAAGAAGCTGCACAGGAATCACAGGGTCTCAGAGTCATGGGGAGATAATCCTGCCCCCGGGGTCAGGGGGTCAACACACTGCTTCCTTTTGGACCCGAGCAAATAGACAGCCACCCCAGAGCATTTCAGTCTCAGTTACTCACAACACTTTACTTCATTCATTTACTTACAACAACGTAGCTAAAATGTTATGGTCTTTACTGCCTGCTCTATGCTTGAAGGGAATTGTTTCAGTTAACCCCCACAAGGCTGTGAGATAGGTATTGCTGTCATCTACATCTCTCAGGTGTGGAAACAGCCTTTAAAAAGTGGCGAAACCTACTACGGGTGAGGAAACTGATCAGGCCCAGGACACATGCTCACAGCCTCCTGCTGACTTCAGAGCCGGTGATGCTCTCCCGCCTGCCTTGCTTGCCTCTGCAAATGTGGCTGCTCCAACAGTCCCCGTCACAATCCCCCAGTTTCTTACTGGCCAAAAGACTCTAGAGCAGGATTTTTGAAGCTGAGTCCCAGCCACCGTCAGAGATGGTTCTCTGCGTCTCCTCACCTGCGTCTCCTTCGTGGGGCCCGATATCGTCCTGGACCCTGCACCTATCTCCTGGTCCGGCTGATTGAGTGCCGGAAGTCTGATCCCATCTGTCATCAACCCACTCAGCAGATCAGGTATTCATCAGTAAAAATTGCTGGGCCAACTTGCAATGTGGAACGGATATTGCAAAGGCGCCCTCCACAGGGCTGGCACCAGGATATGCTCCCAGCAGCAAGTTTGAGGGTGCTTGTTTCCACACAGCCTGGGAGCATGGGGGTTTATCAACTTTCTGATCGTTCCAACCCGAAAAATGAAAACTGGCAGCTCAGTGGAGTTTTAACTGGCCTTTTTAAAATTATGAACGTAGTTGAGCACTTTGCATGTTTTTTTTTTTTTTTTTTTTTTTCAACGTTTATTTATTTTTGGGACAGAGAGAGACAGAGCATGAACGGGCGAGGGGCAGAGAGAGAGGAGACACAGAATGGAATGGGCTCCGGCTCCAGCCATCAGCTCCAGCCCGACAAGGACTCGAATCCTCACAGACCGCGAGATCGCGGACCTGGTTGAAGTCGGACGCTTAACCGACTGCGCCACCCAGGCGCCCCACTTTTCATGTTTTTAAGAGCTGTTTCAATTTCCTCTCATATTCCTGATCATATCCTCTCTCCGCTTTTCTGCTGGGTTGATGGTCTTCCCACATTGCCTTCTAGTTTTTTATGTATTAGGGAAATTGGCTGTTTGTAGGCAATATACCTTGCAAATATTTTTCCAGGGTAGTGTTTGTCTTTTGATCTTGTTTCTAAGCATAAGGAATTTTTATTTTATTTTAACATTTATTCATTTTTGAGAGAGAAAGAGCATGAGCAGGGGAGGGGCAGAGAGA